GACTAATTTCAATCAAAAATAATCTTTAGTTTACTAAAAAAGAAAAGAATACAAAGGTTTAACTCCTTGAACAATAATTCATACATATTTCTCCAGCAAATTATTCCTTATCATTCTCTTAAATACACTCATTGATCTGACATTTTTAATGTCATCTTCCAGATTAATCCATAATCTTATACCCTGAGTCAAACCGACTTAGATGATAAAATTTATTTAACAACATCGATGTTAAAACATTTCAAAGTTTGTGAAAACATTTTAAAGTTTTTTGTACAACATTAAAAAATGAACTTTTCTTAATTTAATAACTGGGACAAATATCTCTACTAAGTTAAATAATTTAAAGTACCATTCCATTCAGTAAAATGGACCAAAAACTAGTAATTATTCTACACTCACATTATTATATTATTTTAACCTATTTAAAAAGTGTTATTCTACTCATCAGCATCGTAGCCTACAATGCTGATGAGTACATCAGTTTACATCTTGACAGAAAGACAACACACACTGTTTGGTTAATAAATGATCACTCGTTTCCTCACAAATTTGAATAATAGTCTAACCCTGCATTGTGGCTGGAAGCGTAAATAGGTGGGACAATGGGAGAAAAAAAAATTCCATGTACTGTTTACCAAACTCAAACAACCTGGATGAAATATGAGGCTATCTGCATTCAACAGACAGGGCTGAAATAATGAGGACTGTGTCTGTGTCATTCATTTCCCACCTGGTACATTTCAATAATCATTTTTGAGCAGATGAAATTCTRTGATCTGCGTCCAGTTCATCTTATCCTTGATACATGCTGGTTTGACACGGATAACAAAATAAAGAAAATACAAGAGTCTCGGGGGGGAGCCATTTGAGGTAGTTCAGGCATCTGCTCCCTGCGGAGGTTCTTCAGTTATGTCCGACTGAGGAGACCCCAAGTTAAACACAGGACACACTCCTGTCCTGGGAATTATAGAGAGAGGTCTGGGCCTCCCTCAGCTGCTGCTCAAAAAAAAAGTTTGCATTGGATTTACTTAAATTAATTACGACAACAGGTCCTTCTCAATTGAATTGAGTAAATATAACAAAATTACTTCACATTCACTTATAAAGTAAATGAAAAAATGCTTTAGATTTACTCAATTTAGTTGAGTAGAACCTGTTGACATAATTTATTTAAAGGGATCCCCAATTAGTTGTAACATTAGACTTTATTTGATAAACATATATTTTAACTGTAAAATAAAAACTGTAAAAATACAATTGGCTGTTTAGTTTTGTACATTTTAAAATGTATATTTTAACACAGAGAGAGCCATTTTATTTACATGCAAAGCATTCTGGGTAAATGATGACGTGGGTAGGTCATTGGTACGAGGCTGCTAGCGAGCTATATCCACCCTGAAGGTTAATCTTGGACATTATCTGATGAGCAGCTCTTTTAAATGAAACCAGAGAGCGTTGAC